ACTGCTTCTTGTGTGCATGCTCCTTACGGTACACAATGCACTATTATTTTATTACTAGACCTTAATACATTTCATCTAGGCTTCAATTAATTCTTACATCATTTTTGTTTCACCAGTAAGAAGTGTATTGGCATTTTAAAAAGAAAAAAGCTCACTTATGCGGGGCATAATGTTTAGCACTTTGCAGATATGTTATTTGTTTCCCCTGAGACTGTAAGGAGAAGTGGACACAGAAACAGTTTGACAAAGTAAAAGAAATGTAGAATTAGAGAACAGCATGGAAGACAGAGCAGGCGAGTAAGAGGTTACTAACAAACATCTTAATGCAAAAATGATCAGCTTAGTAAGTGTGATTGCTCTGCTGGGTTGTATATAGAATAGTTACAGGTGCAATTCACAGAGGAGCATGCAAAAAGCAAAGAATGAATGGCAGTAGCTATAACCAATTATAAACCTTTCCATAATTCTGATAAGGTCATGAACCATAACTTTGAGGCTTAGGTCAGTCCTAATATTGTTCACCTTATCATCCATCACCCATTGCAATTGTTTCAAGTGTTTTTCTTAGACATTGAGAGGAAATCATCATTTAAATTGTTTGGGAGCCTGTCTGAATGTGTGCATTGTGCGTGTGCTGGCACTGAAGGAAGATTATTATCCTTTGTGGATGGGGAGTGGCAGGGTAATCACACTGATGCAATACTGGAAAGTTTTACTCATCATGACAGCATTACAGAGACAACAATATTTTGTGCTTTTATAGCATCTTTCAAACCATTGCTGTGCTCTTTATCACATTAGTTTATTAATAAAGCCACAAATAAATAAGCAGAGAAGCAGGGAAGTACCAGTACACACTGTACATACCAGGAAACATGTCAGGGAAAAAACCAGAACACCTAAGAGTGATTCACAGATGCATTCTCCTACTCCTGGATGGCACTTCCTGCTGACAGCAGGTCTGCTCGATTGCCTTCAGGAAATAGCATGTTAAAATATCTGCGTCAAAAGTGAAGTTGTGCCCTTCTGGAGAGCGTTAAGGCTCCTGGGGGGGCAACAAGCTGTAACTGTGGCTCACAGATACTTGAAGTTAGAGGTCAGACTGAAGAAATGCAGGAGCCAATTTTACAAGGAGCAAAGGTGAATCACAAAGTATAAGAGGGTGGAGTAAGGTTTTCAGCATGTGCTGCACTACTGTCTCTTTACATATTTGTATTAAAATCAGGTGCAAAAGAAAATCCAAAACAAACAAACAAACCCATCAACATATGACACAAAATGACAAGATTTCTGACTGGAGAAAAATAGGGTTTTCAAATGCTTTTTTATCTCACAATAGCTAAAAGATTTATCCAAAAAAATTGAATGTAAGTATTTTATCCTCATTTGACTTGGTGGTAAAAGTCAGGTCACTAATGATACAGTGTTAGGGATACAGTAACTGGTAGAAGGAAATCTCGATTCACAGGACCAGGCATCTGAAATTCCCTGCTGGACTCTCATTCCATCCATGAAGTATCTGCCTCTGTGTCCTGCCTGTCGCTCACTGAGCTCCTTTGCTTTTCCACTTTTCAATCAGCACAGAACTTACTGAGCCTGTTCGGTCAGCAGTTAGCACCTCACATTCACACCTAATACAATTGCCTAAGATTCTGAAGGTTTTTGCTTCATGATCTTTACATTCTTTAGTTATGTACCTGTGCCATGCTAACTGAATACAGTTCTGATAACAAGACCATCACTGCAGAGATCATTGCAGTTGGAGAGATACAATGACATAATATTCATGTTAGAAAATAATATAATCTGCAAATAATAATGCACCATTTTGTAGATGTTCTAGGCAGACATTTTTGGCATGATTCGTTTCCTGAGCCTTGAAAAAACCCTGCAATAGCATGTGATGTGTACGCCGTTCAGATTTAGTACTCAGTCTGCTCTAGAGGAACCAGTGCCAGCAATAAAAAAGGAACCACAGCTTTAAATGTCAGCATTTGCTGCAACAGAGTGACGAGATTAAAGGAATGTGAAAATAAAATGCTAATATATAAATGTCTTAATAACGAAGCATTGTAAAATAAATGCATCACATTAATGTGATGTTAGCATAGATGATGTAGCTGGTACACACATACAATTGAAACAAGCCCTGTACTTTCCTCAGGTAGCTTCTGACAAATACCTCTTCTGTGAAGAATTTCAGTTACAAGAACCACATAAGGCTTTGCATTCACTTCTGCCTGCCCTCGTGTTTAGCAAGCACTAACAGGCAGACCTGTTGTTGAAGGCTGTGGGACTGTAAGTTTTTTGGAATAGAGACACCATTATATAGTAATCAACAAGATCTGAGTATTCTCAGTGCTCCTTCAGGTTTTTTTATTGCTTCTAAATACCTTAGCATAAATAAGGGAACAAGCCTTTCTGCCATCTGAAGGCAAATCATGTTGTTAGGTGAGTGAGCCATTGCTGAACTACATGGATGTGAAAGCTGGACATTCCCTCCAAAGTCTACCTATCTTGGCATCAAGCAGTTCACGTAAATCAACCTCCAGATACTGAGGAGGAGGATAAAGGTTTAACCATGACTGAAGCCCATTCAGTGTTACCAGGTTAAAGGACCAGGCCTTCTGTGGTCAGTTTCCTCAGTTTCTGTGAGGACGTGGGGTGTTAAGAAGCCTACTTCTCTCTTGAAAGAATTTTTATCTGAAAAACTTCCCTTTTTTCCAAGGAATGTAGGCTGGTACGCTGCTAAGTAACACTTCCTGTGAAGAGGAAGATGTCCCAAAATAAGCTGCTTAATTTATTCTGCAGTTCCTAAATAACAATTAGAAAGTTGTCCTTTCTGTGTAACGTTCCAGGTTAATGGTGGCACAGATCAACCACAACTGCTTCGGCAAGAGATGCAGTTGGGTGACTGGAATTTCTGCATATTGCTGGCAGCAAGTTAGTTTTATTCAATGTTAGTCTTGCATTTATTACACTGATGAAAAATACCTGCTTCAAATGTGGTCTTGTGTCTTAAGACTGTATATGTTGGAGTACGAGTGCTCCTCAGCACATCTCTGCACAGTGCTGCACAGCACACAATAGATTCTGCAAGAGTTGTTCGTGTTGTCAGTATCCTCACTCACATCTGCCCCTTGAAAGGACTGCTGCTAGAATCCGCAGTGTGCTCTATACCTGATTTTCTGAAAGATTTGGTAGAGAGGGGGCTCAAAGCCAGGCAACAGCATGAACCAAAAGAATGAGCTGAGCGCTTCTGTCAGCAGGGACAATAAACCCTGCGAGGAGTGCCTGGGGTGCGCAGTGCCAAGGCTGATCACCAGTGGGGAAGGCAGGCACTGCACCAGCACACAGCCTGCCGAGCTGCTGACAGCTCTCCCTGCAGCCCTACAACACCCACTTACAAGAAGAGGTTTGTTAGAAACCAGCTGGCTTTTTTCTTCTTTTTAACAGAACTTTCAGTCCAAAAGAGCACAGAAGATTATAGGAACAGAAGAGAACAAAATGGTTTGTTGTCTAAAATATCAGACTTCTCCCTTTTCCAAGTTTCTGTTATGATCTCAGTATTTTGCAATCATTTTATCAATTGTTCTATGCAGTTTTTGCATACATAGCAATGGATATAAAAATGCAGCATAAAGAAGCTAAGTATAAATACCTCTAAGCTCCCTCTCCTTCAAATATTGAGCTCACAGTATATTTGCCTGGAGAGCTGACCAAAGTCACGAGGGTTATTCTGTGCACACACCTGGCTACAAAACCAGCAGGAAGACAGGCAGTTAAACAGGAGGATGCTGGTAGATAATAGTGGTCTATTGTGGTAGGCACATCTGGGATCTAACTTTTCCTCTTGTTTTGGAAATATGGTAGCTTACGAGCCTTAAGGGAGAACAGAGAAATCCTTACAGAAAGCCCATGAGAAACTATTCCTCATCATAACAGATGTAAGCTGAGAAGGCTTCAGAACACCTTTAGATAATATGACAAGTCAGTAACGTTGATTAACAGTATTCTTTCTTTGAACAGAGGAGTTAATATTTGAATTCCTAAGGAGGAATTTTAGGCAGAATGAAATAAAACATGAAAGGACTTAAACAATAAGGGTACGTTTGTCAGATGCATGAGAAAGTGAGTCAGGGTTAGGGAGCAAAATGGAAAGATGGCACTGAATTGATGGGAAACGACTTCTGCAGCCTTCAGGTACAAAGTGCACGTCAGTAGTTTTGAACTCTTGCACATTAATCCGTGTCCTGTCTAAATTGAAAAGGAAGGATTTCTACCACCATGACAGAGCTGAAATCAAAGCAGAACTTGTGGGGTGGCTCTGGGGATCTCACTGATTTCCAGTGACAAACTGGCAGAACCCTTTAATTGGCATTCAGTTGCATTATTGTTGCAAGTTGCATTTCTTTGCCGGAAAGCTAAAGTTTATTTCATGAAACGCCGTTTGGAGTTAAATAATTAGATCCAAATCAACGCTGTTGCTAGCTTGCTGTTATGGGCCAACTAACGCTAGGACTTATTTTAGTGAAAAAAGGAACCTGACAGCATTTTCTGGAGCACATCCGACGTTGTATTGGGATTTTTCTCGATTCTGTGGCAATTAAACATTATTTACTCATGAATTTGCATCCACGGTCAGTTGCTCTGTTTCACGTTACAGTTACCCAAAACCAGTTGAGTGAAAGCCAGTTGTGAGAAAAAAGGGCCTTTTTTTTGCTCTCGAGATTCCACACCTTCAACACTCGCCGTTTCTGGGCTCGTTACCCACAGGCGCAGCGCCAGCGCTGAGGCACCCGCGGGTTCCAACGGCCGCGCCCGCTCCAACGGTCACCGCGCCCCGCCCCGCTGCCCCTCCGCCCCGCCCTTCCCGCGGACATGCGCGCCGGGATCGGCGGTGACGTCACACTCAGGGCGCCGGCGGCCGCGGGTTCCTCCCCGCTGGCGACACCCAGCGCCGGGCGCGGGGAGGGGGCGGCGGCGCAGGGCCCGGGCGTTGCGGCGGGGCCGCGGCGAGGGTATATGGCGGTGACACTGTCCGCCCTGGCTGCCAGGCTCTCCCAGTCGGCCGCGGCCAGGTCGTACGGCGTGTTCTGCAAGGGGCTGACCAGAACCCTCCTCATCTTCTTCGACCTGGCCTGGAAGCTCCGCATCAACTTCCCGTACCTTTACATCGTCGCCTCCATGATGCTCAACGTGCGGCTGCAGGTGGGCGGCGGGGCCGGGCGGGGGCGCCGCGGGCGGCTCGGGGCTTCGCTGGGCTTCGCTGTACGCGCCGTGACTCTCGGACGCGTCGCACCGCGCAGCTGCTCGGTTTGGAAGGGACCCGCAAGGATCGCATAGTCCGGCTCCGCGCGGGGCCCCCCGCCCTGTGTCTGAGAGCGGGGTCCCAGCGCTCCCGAGCTCCGGGGCAGCGCCTTCCCCTGAACCCTGCCTAAATCTCCCCTCGGCTGCTCCTTGCTCCTCGGTCGTTGTTCGCCTAAATGCATCCCCGGCACGCGCGTCTTGACGTGTGATGGAACAATTTCCTGCTACAGTTTCTGTTCTCAAAACCGAGAGCAAGCAGAACAGAGAAAAAACGGAGGTAGCTTTAAATAATAATGTCACTGCGTACAAATGACAGCTCAGATTTAATTTGTGTCTCTCCTGTGCTGAGACTGCTTCCACACCACATGGGACTCCCTGAACAAGTTCTGACCTAAAGACATTAATTACTAGCTCCTGTACTGTAGAGAACTTCTGTTGGTTTTGCTCTGAAATGAAAGCTTTGTGTTTTACTGGTAACAAAAGCAAGCTGTGGGCTTTCCCAACCGGCATCAGCTGCAGCCAAGAGCTGATGCTTGCTTTCTGCTCGTAAATACAGCTGCAATTCAAGTTTTGACATCTGGCTGGTGGGTGAGTGCTGAAAGATCAGTCTGGTGGCAGTCTGTGACTTGTGAAAGGTAAGCTGAAAAAGGAGGTCAGAATGCAGTGTCTCATATTTTTATTTTTGGGACTCATTTGTCCTACAGTGCTGAAGTTTGATCCTGAGCCTCACTGCCAAGAGTTACACACGTAGCATAGTAATAACCTTGGTGGCTAAAAATGCCTTGCCTTTGCTTCTTATCTGTGCTGGTATGGAATAGCTCTCTTGTAACGACATCAGCTCCCCATTTGGACACAGTGAAAGCAGCACCCTTCCCTCTGCAGGCAGGTGCTCTGACCTGTTCCTTTGGAAGCTCTTCACACCATGTCCCTGATTCCAGCATGTGCTTCTGTTTACAGGAAGATAACTGGTGTTAGCCTTTAATATTATGCCTCTGATCAACCACAGACTGCGTTTCAGTTAGTAGAAGATCATACTGTGGCACAATGAATCTTTCTAGATTCTCATTTGCTGACTCACTTGGATGCTTGCTATAAACTCCCTTTTGGTAAGAGGTTAAACTGAAGCTGCAGAAAGCAAACGTGTGTTGGGTATACCTCCTGCCCCTCTAGATGTGTTCAAAGCAGGCTGTAAGGAGAGCTGTCTCTTCGGAATACTTAACATTCTGCAGTTGGGCTACTCTTTATATTAAAGAATTCTCATTTTCTATATCCTGGCACTAAGACACTGGGATCCAGAGAAAAGATGAGGCATCTTGCAAGATGAGCTTGGGATGAAAAAAAAAAATGGGGTGGGGATTTCACGTAGTAACTTCCTGTATTCTTTCTCTTTAGGTCCATATTGAGATCCACTGATTTGTCACTTGTGCTGCTTGTACTATTTGGAGTCAGTCGTGTTCTTCTTCAAGCTCGTTCTGCTGTGAAATAGCAAAGCTATGCTCATCTTCTATAGGAATATGAAGAAAGAATATTTAAACCTGGAAAGAGTATGTGATGGTGGCCAAGATCGTCACAAGGCAGCAGCACACTTGGCACACATACATTCCGTATTGAACAACTCTCAAAATCACAGTGGCAGTTTACAAAAAGAATTATTTTATTTTAACATCAGGAATTGTTCTCTCTTTAATAATATACCTCCGCCTTACCTTGGCTCAGAAATGCCTTTGAATTTGAGTGAATCAGCAGGGAGAAACTCAAATGTAGCGGCTTTATGGAAAGATTCATTGTGTCTTTGTTTTTATTCTGGGAAGGACAGGCTTGATGGGGTTTCTCACTGCATTAATAGCATTTCAGTAGTGGGCTGGCTGGAGAAAGCTTGTAGTTTTGCTGGAGACTTTAGCTCATGCTGCCCAGGAGACAACACTGCATATTTTGCACACGTGTGGCTGGGAAAGTTGCAGTGTAATCAAGAACTGCAGTTTCTGGAATTAGAAGCGAGCAGCATCATAGGGAATGAATTACAGCTTGCACTTCCTGGAGAGCTGGAGTTGGGTGGACTTCCTGATCTCTCTTCTGCTCCAGTTGCCTCACTGAATGGTTTTACAATGGGACTCTTAAACAACTGTATTTTTCCTTATTACTTAAACCCTGTTACTTCAGAGCAAACACTTGGATATAAGAAGATGCTTTCAGATGTACTATATGGGACTAACAGTTTTTACATCGTGCAGCTAGTAATGCCTGTGCTAGCTTTTGCACTAGCAGGTCTCTGGTGTGAAGTAGCGAAGATAAAAGTGTACTAAAATTTTAATAATGACGATTTTAAATGTTAATAGGAACTTAATTGAGAGACAGAGACAAGGCTACTGTTCAGGTTGTAGTGATAAGTAGATAGCTAAAGTAAAAATTGCATTTGTGTAATTGCTAGTAAAACTGTCTGTTGGGAATAATAGGGACTTTTTTTTTTAGTACAGAATATCTGCCTTTGAGTGGAAAAAACTTCTTAATCTCAAAACTTTTGGGGACACCTCAGGTGTCCCATTAACATGAGTGTAGAACTCAATGTGACTGTTTAACGCAAATCTTTTGTTTTCTTCAGATTTTGTATTTGCTGAGTACTCTGGCTACTGTTTACAACCATTTCCAATGAAGCTACTGCTTACAGAACTGAATTCCCAGCATGAAACCACCTCTAAAGTATCAGTCCTTAAAACACTTTGAATAGGAAAGCCACTGGGGTGATGGTTTTCAGTACAGCGCAGCTCTCTCCAGTGGTCCTTTTTAAGGGTGTTACTGCTCCAACTTGTACAGGAATTTGTTAGCTCCGTTGGGCTACAATGGGCACTATAAATAATTTCTAACAAAAATTCCTTGAGACAGCAATTGTTATCAGTGAAGCATAAGTAATCATTTCTGTTGACTTTGGCATAGACTTCTGATTACAGGATTTAGCAAAGAATGGAGAAAGCATGTTGAAATCAATACGGCTGCTTCTGAGTAAGAAATTGTAGAACATGTTCCCATGCACACATCAGTGGAGAAACTCATTGTGCAGAAGATCGGAGTTTGAACTCTGTGTCCAAATTTTCAACGAAGGGAGTTTTGTTACAAGTAGGCTCAGGGTGCTCTGTGGACTTGCCTGAAGAGGGAGGTACTGATGTGGTGGGTTAGCCTGTGTCTTCAGCTAACTCTTCACTCTGAGTCACAAGTAATGGGGACGAAACTCATGCCAGTGACTGACAGGCTAAGTGTCACTTTTGCTATCTAACTTCTCTTCAAAGCAGATGTGGTATTTAGTTTGAACTGCATTCATCTGGAAAGCTAGGGGTGTTTCTAAGTATTATTTTTAAGCACGCCAGCATAGAAAAGTCCTTGACTATGAAGGTGAGATGCTGGTTAGCAGTGTGATAGGGAGATGTGCTGGACTAACTACTGGAGTGCTGAAAGTTAGGTACACTAATTCCTGTGGTGTGCTGTGTTTTTATTATCCCAGCTGGTAGATTATTTCTTCTGGATGTTAGAAGAAATAAAAACCCATTTGCTTTAATTTAGAAAGTAACCTTTTCCCTCGTGTCTACTTTTAATTGTTAAACTTCTAGACTTTTGGCTATGACTCCCAGTCTCAAAATTACCAGAAGCTGTAAAGTAACAATGGATTGTGTTCTGTAAGTAAATACCTTGACAGCAATAGTTTCCTTCTAGTCAAACGGCTCATCCTATTCACTCCCATCTCTTCTACTGCAGTTTTTCATCCTTGCAGTGGTAGTATTGCAAGTGTTTATGAATCAAGATTGCTTAAGTAAATGTAGATCTGAAACCCCAAAACATAAGGCACAAAGACACTTTTCCCCAAAAGCCTGTAGCTTATTTGAATGATGATGTTAACAGTTATCTATATACAAATAAATCCTAAAAACAGCAGGCAGAGCTGTAGGTAAAGGGATGAAGATGGGGAGTGGAGCCTCTTAAAGCTGGCTTGGCTGCTTAAAGAAATAGAAATTGTGTAACTGCAATTTGATTTCTCTAAGTAGCTGTACTGGTACAGAAATACTCTCTTGCTGCGTCATGGGTTTCTTGTTTTGTAAAGCTGTCCCCAAACACAGTCCACAACTGATTGCTTGAACTTCCCATGTAGAGAATCTACAGCCTGGAAGATTCCCTTCCCTGCTGTACATCATTTGGGAGCTACGTATTTTTGGGAACCAGAGTTACGTAAAACAGAAGTTTCTTAGTACTGTAATGTTAATAGGCAAGAGGAACAGCTAAAGGCATAACATTACTAATCCAGTTTTTAAATTGTCTACTATTAATGATCATACTATTATTAAAAACAAAAGGAATAATGAGGGAAGCCACTGGTAAAGTGAAATGTGTGCGCAGCAGAGCGCCACGGGCTGTCTCATTACTGATAGCCTCTGCAGGAGGGAATCCTGAACCATACTATGTATCACAGTCCAGGCAATATAGTCCTGTTTTAAGCAAAACTTGTACTGAGTGGCCTTTAAGTCCTTGTTACCAGATCACTTTAAATACAGATTCAATGCAGTTAAGTGATACGATGGGGTTTTGTGTATTATATGTGTACTGAACATAAAATTTACAGAACGTCTTGTGGATTTCATTCATTTTTAGATAGGTTATAGTACTTTGTCCTGGATTTTGTTGCTTAAGGCCTAAAAGGTAACTTTTTAACTCGAAACATTCCTTTTGAAATTCAAATAAATGATACTTGTTAAGCTAAGATCTCACATAATATACTGCACTTTAAGCTTGGGAAGGCCATAAATGGAAAACACTGTTCTTGCACTAATAGAACTGTTTCACTGATGGAGTCAATGCTCAAATGGATTTTTTTTTTTTTTTTTCCTTCTCTAGGGAAGAACAGTAAGCCAAAATGATACCTGTCCTTTGCAACTATATATCAATAAAACACAACGTGTGGTTTAGGCCACCGTTCTCCCCAAAATGTTTTGATGTTAACTCATCTCAGAAGGTGGAAAATGTCTCAGAACCAGGTTTGCATGGAGTTTTGTGGCCTCGAAAAGTCACGTGTGGAACTGCTTTTCTGAGTGCATGTGGTGCTAGGGTTGTTTTGGGATGATTATAGTACAGAAAAATAAGTTTTAAAAGGGGCAGGGGATCACTAACTGAACCAGGAGTTGCCTTTTTACTTCCAGTTCTCACGCCTTGCTGTTCTGTTGCTGCAGAAAAGAGCATTTCTGCTGAGCAACTCTTGTTTTTTAGAAGTTCACTGGTCAGTGTCCAGATCCCTCCTGCACCACACAGCAAAGAGTTCTTTCTACCGCTAGAAGACAAATTAAGAAAATGTGAAGTATTTAGCTAATTGCCTAATACTTTTCCACAAACATATGCTTAATGGCAGTTGACTGTATGGTATACTGCTTAAAAACAGAAAATACACTTTTCAATGTGTGCACAGAACTCTGCATGTGGGTAAAAAGCCGTATTATCGCAGTACGATGTTGGAATGCTGATGTAAACTGTTATTTACTTTCTGGCATTACAATGCAAAATGAAGCAGAGGTGTGTTGTAATTCTCAGTGTGGTAACAGCCAGTGCAATCTTAGGAGTCGTTTGTGTGCATCATCTTGCACCATGAGACAGTTTTAACTGTAGATAGTTTTCAGCCTTTTGCTTTTTCAGTGTTATTGTTTGGTGGTTTGTTTTTTTTAAGATTGTAAAGACTGCACTTTCTTAAACTTTGCCAAAGTTTGCCTTTTTTCTCCTCCCTTGCCCCTCCTTATGTGTGTATGTGTATATATACGCTAAAAGTATACGTTCTTTTAATTTCTGGAAGAAGTCTGTCCCTACTTGCCCAACATGTCAGCTTATTGCCAGGCTTTTTGTTTGTGTTTTCTTAATTATGGCCTGGGCCTACCTGTAACTGCCTTCTCCTCCCTTCCCATAAACTCCAACATAAGCATATGCTGAAATTCTGTTCCTTTTCAGAAACACTCCCCTGCAATTAATTATGAATAACAAATTGACAGAAACCATGCAGAGATTTAAGTATCCACAGGGTGACTGGGCTGTATGACAAGCAGTGTATCTGGCAGAGCAGTAGGGAGTCAGCATGACACTTTCCTGCTTTTTCCCTTCAAAGCGAGATGTGTTACCTCTGTCAGATGAGAACTGCAGCTGCAATTTGGGGCTCATGAAATACATTGTGGCTGACGTTTAAAAAAGCAATGATTCCGGCTTCAAGGCTGATTTATTTTTTTTAAAGTCAGAGATACAACTTTCTGAAAAAGGCTTGCATGAGGTTTTAAGGTTTTGAGAGTATATTCAAGAGTGTGTATTACAAAATGATGCTTCTTTCTGTGATGCACAGCCTAACTAGGAAGAAAAGGAACTCTTTAGGATTGTTTTAAATACTTGTGATTAATCCCCTCTTCGTATCTCAGACTACAAAGCCTCTAATCTTCAGTGATGAGCTGCACTTGGCTGAATTTTCAGATAAACAACTTGTTTATGAAAATATTAATACTGATGATCAACTCATATACTGAATACAAGGACACAGGTAAACTATCTGCTGGCAGTTCTTGGGAGAATAAATAATATAGCAGTGTTAGAATGATGCTATCCTCCTTTACTACCCTGCATAAAGTTAACCCTTGTAAAGTGAAATTTATTCTGTACTGCATTGCAAAATCTCAGTGGTCTTGGTGTCTTTGGAATTGGTCACACAAGAGTCAGATCAAGTAAGCAGAACGTGAAGCCCAAAAATGGTTAAAAATCAGATCAGTCTACAAGTAGCAGTGTTCTTTGGTCTTCTGGTTGTAGTCAGTTTCACCCATCAGATACAAAAATACCCGAGTGTAACACGTTTTTGTTCTTATAAGCAGGTAAATGCAGGGCGTAGTGCCTGATTACCGGTGGATGAGTGTTCCATGAACCGTCTTGGCGATGGGTTGTGCTCCCCGCTGCTGAGTAACACTAATTGTAAATGCTGACACTGTAATACTTCCTGCAAACTGTGATGCTACCCGTGAAAAACAATTTCAGTCTATAGTCTTTGGCCTAACTTTTTTTTCCAGTGTGGGAGATAGAGAAGGTTGGCACAAACCATCTTTATGTGTGTCCCAGAGAAAAATGTTTACACCTTTGTAAGTATTCTAGAAATCTAACACTTTTTAACTTCTGAGTTTCCACAGTAAGCTTGAAATCTGTTGTCCTACTGCAATAAGAACAGGCATTTGGTTATTAGAGTGCTGTCTGTGCTTCCAGAAGCTGGTTGTGATGCTGCTCACTTACACCACAGGAGGGAGTTGAACATCTTTCCAATATTTTCAGTTATGGCATTGTTTTATCTTAGTGCAGTGCATTTCAGTTTATAAATACGCTGAATTTGACTGGTCTTATGGATTTCACTGCTAATAGTTTGATGTACAAAATAAACACACAGTGGTAACTTACAGTAAATGTTTACATTTTAACTCTGAATACCAATTGTGGGTTTTATCAAGCTATTTAAAAGCAGAAATAAATGTCTTTAAAAAAAAAAAAAAGGATCTTTTGTCTGTACTCAACAAAAGAACTAATTGTGCTGCTGCTCATTCCAGTGTTGCAGTCTATATATCATATAGATGTAACTTAAAAGTGCCTGTTTCTGATTAGAGAGGGGGTATTTCTGTTTTGTTTTGGAGATGCAATTGAGAGACGTGTGTTCATCATATAGCAAAGAAATTAAAAACCTTTGTGAGGACACAGGTGTGTTTATGCTTGGCCTTGGAAGTCTGCTAACTGAGCTCTGGGCTAATTATACCCAGTGCTTTTTACACTTTTTTTTTCTTGACATGCCTTAATCAATCAATCAATCAATCAGATTGAATCTAATTCCAAAGTATTTCCTGAGTGTTGGTCTAGTCTTGCACCACAGTTTAATTTCAGAAGAGGAAAGAAAAACATGTTAAATGCATAGAAAATATGTAATTTTCTTTCTTTATAAGAACATTTTTGGAAAGTATGTGGTATGCTTTGTCTTCCATTTAAAAAAAAAAAAAGAGAATGGATAAGGGTCTTGTTAACGAGTGCAACAGTGTGCTTGTAAAAGCATACTGTAAATATTGTGAGCCTCAAGAAGTGCTGTCTATTTGCTTTCTACCCATACCAAAATCTCCTTTATTTATCTTTATCCTCACAGTTCAAAGGAAATTATAAAAATGTTTCAGAATTCTTTAAAGCATGATGCATTGTTAAAAGTATCCCAGGGGCACAGAACCAAAGCCAACAGAAAAGTCCAGTGCTTCTCTCTTGCTCGCCGAAGAAAAGGCCAGCAGCAATAACAAAGCAGGATGTTTCTAATACATTTTTTAGGTTGGGTGGAGGAGCTGGAGGCTGGAGCCCTTAATCACTTAAGCTGGAAGTTATTCACAAATGACCCTTCAAAGTTCAGTGTTCATGTCTGGCCTCTTGTAATAAAACATATTTTCTACAGCAGAGTTTTCCTAAATTGCTTTTCAGATCTTAAGCCTTGCATTCCAAGCAGTGCACGCTGACTGCAAGCATGCCAGACTGATTCCAGAGTTAGAAATA